TTTGGAAAAAAATAAGGCTGGGCTTGAGCTAATGGTTTGTAAAGAGATGAATGATGGTAATAGTGTAATCATAATTCACAATGTCTCTTGCTGGCATTTTGTTGCTGCCATTGCAAGTGCTTGCTGAACTACCGTATTTTTCGGATTATAAGGTGCACTGTCGACAAACGGGTCGGTTTTCATAGATAAGGCGCACCAGTATATGTTGTTCCAGTGTTTTTCTAATTTTTGCTATGTAACTTTGCACTGTCCACTTTTTGCTGTAACAAAACAAATTTCCCACGTGTGGGACTAATAAAGGTTATCTTATCTTACATCAATGACTAACCTCATATTGTGGCTGGATTATCTCAGTTGTTCTCCCCTACTGAAGTTTGGTCCGTTTACAGCAATTTTCCATGCAATTGCATTTGTCAAAAAAACATCGGGAACTTTTATCAAGTGGAAAAAAGTTAGCGCTCAGGTTCACTGTGTTATGCTTTGTTATGCTAACATAGCTGTGTCACTAGCGATCACTAGCACAGCATTATATAGCAGCTAGCCCTACTTCAGTAACCCTACAAACATCACTATTGTGTAGTTTTCTGTCTTCATTCATGTTGGTAGTGATAGCAGAGCTGTACGTTTTATTTTTTTCCAGAAATCTCTCTGTCAGAACATGCTATATCATGTTTAGGTAACTAGCGAAACCAGCGAGCTAACTTCCTGCTAACTTAAATTTAATAAATTCTGTTTTCATGGATGCCTGGATGTTAAACGTAATTGTTACACTTGGTAAAGCAGCAACGCTGATCATTTTATTAAAGATGAAAGAATTTAGACAGTGTTCGTTTGACTTTGGGACCTGACGCGAACGGAGTTTTGGACCCAGATTACTAAGAGTCGCGAGGCTCCTGACTATGGTAGCCATAACGCTTAGTAGGGCTGCACGATTAATCGTTAGAAAATCACGATCTCGATTCATACTTATGTGCGATCTAATTTCCAAATGAACACGATTTAAAAAAAAAAAAAAAAAAAAATGACGACGACGACGATTGTACCGCATTTTGATCCGGGACGTAATCTGCATGAAAACAAGCGTTCTCTCTTCCTGCTCAACAAATGACAAGGGCGGAGCCTTATACCACGTGATACAGAAGCTGTGCCATGTGATGCTAAAATTAGCAGGAAAAACAACGGAGAGCACGTCAGGGATGACGAGAAAGTGACAGGAGAAAATCCGTCCCAGTCAACCACCCAAACATCAATAACGGGAACCTTATACAGCGCTTCCCTATACCCATCGAACTCCCGCAGGCACAAAGACATTACGGAGGCTATCACTTATCACCTGACCAAAGATATGGCTCCCATCAACACTGTGCAAAACGAGGGATTTAGGAAAATGATCAACACTCTAGACAAACGCTACACAGTGCCGTCCCGCAACTATTTTTCTATTGTTGCACTACCTGCTCTATACACGCAGCGTCGAGCAACGGTGGAGACGGAATTTCGTTCGAGGTCAGTAAACACAGCCAGAATTCATAGATAAGGCGCACCAGATTATAAGGCGCTCTGCTGATTTTTGAGAAAATTAAAGGATTTTAAGTGTGCCTTATAGTGTGAAAAATATGGTAGTCTCTGCTACATCAGCATTTACGTGCTCTAGGTGATCGATTCTGTAATTATCTTTCTTAAATGTGTTTTTTTTCCCTCCTTCTTCATTAAAAAGTGTTTTACCAAGTGCTTTGCCTACCCTTCGTAGTTGTATGCATTCTTTATTCTCTTTGTCCACACTTTCTAAATACAGATCGGTTTGATTTTCACTCTTGCTTCATGCAAGTCTCTCGGAGGCTCTTCCTTTGTTATCCTATCATTGATCAACTGTGGAGGGCAGCACAAACAAATTTTTAATTTCGATTATGATTTTGGCATATCAGAATTAAAAGAACATGATCATACAATATTAAAAATGCATGCTCATCATATTGGCATATCATATTCAAAGAGTACTGTCTGTTTGCAGAGCAACAGAACTAATCTAACTAACCTTTACCCTGAAAACACACGACAGTCTGCGGTATAGTTAATGCGTAAAGACCAAGAAAAACAACGTTTTATGTGAATCATTCAAATTGTCAACTTGGATATCAGTAAAAATGAGCTTGTGCAGTGTGTCAGTGCAGCACAGTGTAAATGTGAAATCAGTGGTCTGTTATTTAATTTTGCTAAGTTTCAGTACAAAGGTTTATACAAAGCAATGTTGTGTTTACATCAGAGTGCAGGGAATTCAACAAATGAATAATAATGACTTTACTATTGAACAACGTCACTTTGGACATAATTGTGTGGCTCTAGTTGGTTGGTTGATGTGTTAACAGCTATGCAGAGCAGTGCTAGACTGAATGGTTAAATGATTTTCCACATTGTTTGTAGCTCCTTTGGGCTGACCTGCTTTCAGCCAAATTCCTGCTCGGTGATGTTGTAGCAGTGTTAACCCACAGTAGTGTTTTACTCTAAGGTTTCCATAGCAAAACAGTCTCCCAAACTGTGGTGTGGTCAATCAGTCTGCGTTTGCTTTTCTTTATTCCATGCAAGAGGGGTAGCATTCATTGTGATAAGGCCATGCTGGTCTTTCCTGTTTTAGAAATGCTTTTCATGTGTGAATGAAAGGGCTTCCTGCTGATCCAAGAATAGATGAGAGGGAAGCGAAACGCATAAATCTGTTTAGAAATATTGTGTAATAATAGCTTCTTCTTGTGTTTTAAAATGTAGAAATACATCTGTTTGAATTAAAGAGCACTCATTTGAAGGCAAACTAGTAGTTCATTCACACAGCAGCTGCATGGGATGTTGCCATAACTGAATAGTGAGTTCTTGGTTATGCTGACCATCTATTTAAATTAATTTAAGCTATGTAGTATCTCTTGCTGTGTTTTCATGAAACAAACTGTTGCTAGATATTAGTGAAAGCTGATGTGTTCAGGGTCAGAAGGATTCTCCACATAGGCCGTTTCCCTTTGTCCGGTGTTTGAATAAATGTTGTCTTAGTAAACAAGGCTTCCATACTGGACAATGGCAACGATAAGAGGCAGTGACGTTACTGTATGATGTCACCTCTCCACTGTTCAAAAAAAAATATGTTCAGATCAGTTTTCAGTTCTTTCCTCATAGCTTGTAGTAAGACTTGTTCTGTGCAGTTGTTTTCACGGTCATTGAGAGGGAACCAGGTTACACACTGTGTGGTTGGGGCAGGGTTGTGGAGAGGGTGTGTCCTGTCATTGATAAAAGGTCTCTTTCGTTGAGCAGTTTTCAGAACTGTGAGTGTGTTTGCTGATTAGAATTGAACTAGGCAAAGTTTTTAGAAGGGGGTCACATTTTTATCTGTAGAGTCTTAAAAGTGAACATTTGCCAACAAAGATGGGAGTGATCCAATATGCTTAAAAAATAAAAAACCCTCCAACATAAAACATTTCAGCACTACAAGTGAATGTGTAAAATTTTATGGCTGGTTAATTTAAGCAGGCAGTAATAGATTGTGCACCTTTAACACACAGATTAAGATTTATTAAGCGTTATTATAAGTATAGTAACAGCTGTCTACTGAAAAGACAAAAGATATTTATGTCATTTGCACCCACGGATTTATTTTGAATAAAATGAGAAAGCATTGTAACATTTCTGAGGCCATTTTTCCTGAAAGCAAAGCATTATACAACCATTACCAGCTTTATTCACATTACTGCAATAGGATATATGTTTATTTTTTGTAAATGATTGCTGTGCACGATATACCAGTTATGTCTGATCAAAGATGCAAATACTTGGCCATAAATAAAAATGTATATACACGGTAACGGTCTTGGGTTTAAACACAAAACCATGTTCTAAATAGTTGTGATTATTCAGCAGTTGTACAACTGTGGTATATTACTCATTGACAGCCAAAAATTGGAGGAAGTTGCAACAGCAAAACATGGTGCATAGGATGGTTTTTGTAGTTTCATTTCCTTTAAATTTACGTTATACCAGTGTTGGCTGCATGTGGTTGATAATTGCCTTTTTCTTATTTTTCATGTTTAGTATTATTCGTATAGTTAAGCAATGAAAACTGCTTCTTCTTGATACTCTCGCTCAGAGCTGGCTTTGCCCATTGCTCCTCTGACTGTCCTCAGCAAGCACTGCTGTGTCAGGGTTTGTGTAAGGCAGGCAGGATACCCTGTTTCCAGCCTTTGTCAGTAAGCAGATCTGCAGAACTTGCTGGTGTTACATGCGGCAAATTGTTTCACACACAGCCTGAGGCTTTATTTTTATGCAGGTTAATTTTTTCACGTGTCCTGTCTCTCTTTTCATGGAACACCTACAAGTAATTGAAGCTAAAGCGTGCTCTAATGTACTTGAGTTGCCCTCAGAGATTCAAATTGGTGTTAATTTAGGTAAAACTTGGACAAAATAAAGCACCAGTGGTTGTCTATATGACGTGACAGAATCATCTTCATGCACTGATATTGGTATATATTGTATTGGCAAACCAGCTCCTGTGAAACATAATAATTTCTGAGATGTCAGACTGTGAATAGTTACTGTTAGTCAGACTAAAGAGACACTTGAGTGTTATGTAATGATGTTGCAGTTTCCTCTTTGGCCCATACTTTGAGAACTTGGCTGTGCATTAGCTCTCCACCCAGGCCAGGCAATAACTGTTACATCCAGTACAAAACTACATGTGTCCAAAGAACTGCTGCCTAGCTCCAGTATGGCAAACTCATCCGCTCTCTGTGGTAGTGCACAGTAGCTGAGTTTAAAGTCCCAACATTCTTAGCGGACCCTGTTGTTTGGTCAACTCCTGGCATTAATTTGACTATACATTTGTCAAAGGCTTAGGTTGAAATTGTGACAGGAACAATGTGACGTATTGTTTCCCGAGATGATCTTCATATTTACCTAACGAACCTTTTGCTGCCCAGTTCTGTTCAGGCTCACATGGTTCTGCTTTTTTCTCTTGTTTCTTTTAGCTCCAAAACTTAGGGATCAATCCGGCCAACATAGGCTTCAGCACCCTAACCATGGAGTCTGATAAGTTCATCTGTGTGCGTGAGAAGGTGGGTGAGCAGACTCAGGTGGTGATCATCGACTTGGCCGACCCCAACACACCTATCCGCAGGCCCATCTCAGCTGACAGCGCCATCATGAATCCAGCCAGCAAGGTCATTGCACTTAAAGGTATGGCAGTCTATTTACATTTCAAAGGCTGCATGTCTCTGAGTGCAGTGCATTACCACAGAGAGAGGGAAATGTGTTAAATATCAGGGTTTAACACAAACGTTAACTAACCACTTGTAAGGGACTTACAGCATTTCATTAGGACATGTTTTTCTTCTATATAGCAACATGTTATCCATTTAAAATTTTAAGAATATTATGAATTATTTTCATTTATTTATGTCCATACACATCCAGCTACTTTAGTTTTCCATTGTGGATTAGTTTTTAATGGCCAACATGTATGTTTTTGTTTTTTTCTTCCTCCAAACATTTGTCCTGTAAATACTCAGAATGGGATATTTTTTATTCTTTTTGTCCAGCATCCATGATTGCTTTGACTTTTTTGTTGTTTTTGTTTTTGTCTTCTCTTATTTTTTTTTCCTTTACTGCTTTCTTATGTGTTTGCAGACGGTGAGTTGAAATTTAACTACTTCATTGTGGAAGTAAAATCCTGTTTAAAGCAACATTTATAAGCTGAATATCCATTTGAAGCATAGAGACTACTGTAGAGTTTGTTTGCTCTTAGAGCCTCAGCACTAATGGGCTAGGTTTAAGTATTCTTTACACATATGTTTAACCAAGTTTTAGTGCATTCTTGAAATTCCTTTCCACATCTCAGCCAATATTCTGTAAACAGGATTTAGCTTTCACAGTCTTACGGCTTGCTGGCATTTCATCATTTTTGTTTTATGTACAAGTGATTTAGAACCTGTTGCAAGTGTGATAATACTGTGGGTAAAATGATTTCATTTTAATTTGCATTTCTTGGTTTCCGTTTGAAATTCATGTCCTCTTCCATCTGTGTTATGTTGTAATTAACTTTCATTTGTCTCAAAGCTATGCTTAATAATTTTTATTAATTGTTCACTGTAATAAGAACTAAATATTACAGTTTGTTACAAGACCAGAGAGCACAGGAATTTATCTTGTAATCTGTGCGAGAAGTCTAATGCCACCTGTCATCAGCACTGACTTTACTTCACATGGTCCTAATGGGACATTTCTCTGTCACGTGTAGTGCCTGATGAGGATTGAATTGGGTCAAAACATAGAATGAAGAGTAATCTGTAAGGCTTGCTTGTCAGGGTGTGGAAATGATAAAATTATACTCATAAGTTTACTGTGGTAGCTTATCCAAGAGCTCAGAAACCTTGAGTATCCTCACATGTTTAGTCCATGAGCTTACTTATGCACCTTTTTAAAGATTTTATGAGCAAAGCAATTTTGGTTTTTTTAGGGGGGGCAAAGCTTTGTCCCTGTGTTCTCAGTGATATTATGTCACGACTTGGTCATTTCACACACATGCTGCAGCCCTGGTTTTGTTCAGGTTCATGCCTGATGGAGCTGCTTGTAAGAATGTGAGTGTCTCACTCACTAAGCTTAGACAGCTGCCTGCGCCCATATCATGAAACAGGTACTTGTTTGGTGATTGCACAATGAGCATGTGGGTGTTTTGGGTCCTGCCTCTTGCTCACTCAGGTCCAGGCAATAGTCTTGTCTAAATCAAGTGAATTTCCAGTAGGGATAACATGTATGACTCAGATTTTCTCCTGTTGTGTTGCATGTGTGATGGTGCACCTGTGGACAATGTGTCAACATGAGTCCCTCCACATTGTCCACTATTCATGTGTGGAAAAAAACACACGGTATCAGTGATTTATTTATTGAGGGAACTGGTGTCCGTTTTTTTAAGGCAGTTCATGAAAATGCTTAAAAAAAAGCACCTTATCACAGCAAACAGGAGCTATATATGTACAGGAACAGGAAGCACAACAGTATATAGAGAGCAGCAGATGCAAACTGTTGCCTTGTATTTTTGCAGTGTAAGGCCAGTGTAGCTCTTTCTTGTTCAGTCCCATAGTGAAGATGCTTAGTTGACCTCGTCTTGTGACACAGTTTGAGCGTTAACTCCTCCATGTAACCTAAGGTTGACCACAAAACACACACGTACACACACACACCGCCAGACACTAATCATGATTGAATTTCAAATATTGCATGCTCTTTGAAATTTGGCTGCTACTGCTGCAAGTGGTCCATTTACCAATCTGCTTATTGTACTTTGGCTTAGTAATGGCAAAATAATCTTCACGGTTTGGCTGATGCATTGGTCTTCGCTTTTCTGACACAAGGTAAAAAGTGAAGAAGTCACACTGCTTCTTAGTAAAGCTTTAGCTTCTCAAATTAACCCCAACTAATAATACAGAAAATGCAGGTGAGTGAACTTTCTTCTAATTGTTTCAAATATGTTTGAAACATTCCAAATATTTATTATTTTTAGCACACTATTTAATATTCACAACACCGTACTCACTAGTCTGTGTCCTCTAATCTAGAATGACTTGTACTAAGAAAGAGGTAGGCATGTATCGAACCATTCGGTGACAGTCGGCACCTCTAATCCTTTAATTTTGTCACACGTGGAAAATGACCTTTCTCAATAATTGTATTCATGTTGATAATTCTTCATGCAGTCAGTGGCAGTAAGCAGAAGTGTTTTTATTGGCTTCCTACATTGATGCACCATTTGGTTTAAATTATGAATTTGTATGCACTTAAGTTCACGTCGAGCCTATCGCACCTCTTGTATTCTGGAAATAAATTCACTTTCTCCTTTTTTTTTTTTTCTCACTACACTTCATATGACAAAAATTGCAAAATACAGCTTGTTCGATGTTTTTCATCTTATCAGTTGTGGCATTGTTGCTTGATGACCTCTGTGCCATCAAAACAACATTTCAAATTTCTTGTCTCTTTAAAAAAGAAATGGTGTGCTTCTTTTCCTATGGGAGGTTTTTGTGTGCGTCTCTCTGTGTGCACGGCCTCGCTCTTATCGTGAGCTGTAACATTCTCCTGTGGCCTGGTTCCTGCCCTGTTTCTCCCCCTTGTAGCTGCCAAAACTCTTCAGATCTTTAACATTGAGATGAAGAGCAAGATGAAGGCGCACACCATGACCGACGATGTTACCTTTTGGAAGTGGATCTCTCTTAACACAGTTGCACTTGTGACTGACAATGCCGTCTACCATTGGAGCATGGAGGGTGACTCACAGCCTGTGAAAGTCTTTGACCGGCACTCTAGCCTGGCAGGCTGCCAGATCATCAACTACCGCACTGATGCCAAGCAGAAGTGGCTCCTGCTCATCGGCATCTCAGCTCAGGTAGTTTGTTCTGCATGTGTTCTGGTTTAACAAAAAACAAAGCCAAGGTTCGTAATCTATGGTCGAAGCACGTCAGTCACAAGGAATATGCAGTCATAATTACCTTATGCATGTTTATATCTATCATTCTGGGGGGGTTTGTTTTTTCTTTCAGCAAAATCGAGTGGTGGGAGCCATGCAGCTGTACTCTGTTGAGAGAAAAGTTTCTCAGCCCATTGAAGGCCATGCTGCCAGCTTCGCCCAGTTTAAGATAGAAGGGAATGCAGAAGAGTCAACTCTGTTCTGCTTTGCTGTCAGAGGCCAGGCTGGAGGGAAGGTGACTGGTTTTTACAAACACAATTGTGAACAGTGATTTCTCTCGTATGGTTTTGTTACAAATGTTTTGTCCTCATCATAGTTGCACATCATTGAAGTGGGAACCCCACCAACTGGTAACCAGCCATTTCCTAAGAAAGCAGTGGATGTCTTCTTCCCTCCAGAAGCCCAGAATGACTTCCCTGTAGCCATGCAGGTATGTTTGTGTGACTGAGCAGCTGGCTTTAACAAACTGAAATCAGTAGCATGAAAGGAAGTACTAGGTTGGCAAAACTGCAGTTTATCAGTGTTTTAAAAGACCAGTTTGGCTGATGTGTGGTGATGTTTTTGTTTTTTAATTGTTCATAATTTCTTTTACTGACAAGGAAATCTCTGTTAGAATAACTTTCTTTATAGAGCGCCAAATCACAATAACAGTTGTCTCCGGGTGCTTAACCACCAAACCACTTGTCCACCAAATAGTGATGTACAACAAACATCAGCCACTATGGTTGCTAAATGTCATCTTATTTGCTGGTAGGCCCATATTTTTCATCATGGCTGGTCATCCGTGTATCTTACACACTTTCAAAAGCAAGTCTCTGATTTCTGTAGACGTCCCTGACCTCACTGAACTCAGAAATACACTTTGAGTAGGTACTGTTTTGGTGATGTTTCAGATAGCAATGCACAGCTTTATGTAACATCACTAAATTGGTTTTTGACAGATAAGCTCAAAGCACAATGTGGTTTTCCTCATTACCAAATATGGCTACATCCATCTCTATGACTTGGAGACTGGCACCTGCATCTACATGAACCGCATCAGTGGAGAGACCATCTTTGTCACCGCTCCACATGAGGCCACCTCAGGCATCATTGGGGTCAACAGGAAGGGGCAGGTAAGAATGTCACGATGTGCTAATTCTAACTGCTCATGGAAATTAAAGTGATGCCTGGAGTTGCTGTCTTGTTCATGTCAAAACGGAACGTGCAACCATATATTTTCCACTCAGTTTCCTAAAAATCTGTATAAAATATATCATAACATCTTAATTTATAGTTCAATTTTACTATTTAAATCTTGTTTCATCTCTAGTCCTAGTAATATCCAGCAAATATGACGCTGGGCAACAACAAACATCAGCTGACAGCAGCATCTCTTTGTTTGTCTGTTGTCATCAGGCAGGTTCACTTTGCCAGGAGTCATTATAAATAATCCAAGGTGTAGTGTTTCACAAACAGAAAGCAGCGACTGTTGCGTCTTACTGCTTTTCTGAAGCAGAACCAGAGAAGAGAACTGGATACAGCTAGCCGATGAATAATGATCCAGCCAGGCCACACACCACATGAATAATTGAGCGCAGAGAGGAAAGCTGATCTCAGACTGTGACAGATCTCACAGTCTGCCTGTGTGTGTGTGTGTACGTGTGTGTGTGTGTGTGTGTGTGCGTGCGTGCGTGCGTGTGTGTACGTGTGTGTGTGTGTGTGTGTCACAAGCACACAGAGACAGTGATCTGAGAGAGAATAGGCCGCTGTCTGCGCCACTTACTGATTCTGGTTAACTGGGTTGGTTACCAGCAAAATTAGTAATTGGATACTGACTAATAAATTACTCCAGTGCTATATACTTCTATCAAGTAGCCAGGTGAAAGGAAAATTGGTCTCAACTAGACTAGCAGCATAATGTTCACCGGGGGCGGTTAAATCAACATGACCATATTTTTATGGAAATGTCGGGTAGTAGAAAAACATCATTATTACCTCATAAACATTTCAGGTGGGAAAACATTACATTATCATACAGTGCTAAGATATTGAGCTCATGAATGTAAAATCAGTGAGTGCATGAGGAGAGTATCCTGGCCTGTCAGTGACATGCATTGATTATAGGTGTAGCACTGAACTGCTGCACAGAAACCCGACAGGGGTGGAGGAGGTAACATGGAGAATTTAAATGACAGAGTACGGGTGGAAAAAGGCCCATGTCCCATCAGCGTGTGATGCAGAGTGGGAAGCACATCCTGGTGCTCTCTGTCAGTGTAGATCCTCTCGGTAGTGTCTGCCTGAAATGAGCTTTGCTATTTGTTCTTGGTGGATCTGTCTCAACTAGGTTTATCACTTGATACTTGATATTTTTTTCCTAGCATTTAGGAACAAAATGTTAGGCCACCCTGGGGTTAGTGTGCAGGCTGGTCTCCCTCATGATAGTAATTATCGGACTTTAATATCAGCCTCTACAAGCGTACTCTCCTCTGGACACATGTAGTGCGCACTGAGCAGAACACAGGATGAACACTAGGAAACCTTTTGTTAAACTCCTTTTCCTCCTTTTTTGTTTATTTACATGTATTTACATTTCCACATTACTTCCATTTAGTCCAGTAACATTATAGTAAGTGATCCTGCTTGAGTAGTTGCCAGACTTCACACACAAGCCCTGTGTTACACTGAGCCACTAAAATAACATTTGCATTCAGCACCCATATCCCAGTGCTAGACGGAGTTTAATTTCATTGCACATACTTAAATTTAACATGTTGACTACTGATTTATTTATTTTTGGTTACCTGACAAAAGTGTATTGAATCATGCCTCTGTGGTCATAATGTATCTAAGATGAGTTCAAGTACAAAAGACTGTTTTTCCAATCAACGTTTCATTGTGTATTTGACCAAATCTGTGAATCTGTTCCACATGCCTGACATAAACTTCACAGATTGACTTGGACTTTAAAAATGTCTTTTCCTGTGGCACAGGTTCTGTCTGTCTGTGTGGAAGAGGAAAACATCATTCCCTACATCACCAACGTGCTGCAGAATCCAGATCTGGCTCTCCGCTTAGCTGTCCGCAACAACCTCACGGGAGCCGAAGAGCTGTTTGCACGCAAGTTCAACAACCTGTTTGCTGCTGGCAACTACTCCGATGCCGCCAAGGTTGCTGCTAATGCACCAAAGGTACATTAGTGACTTCCATGGTCTTTTACTGCCCGTTTTGTCTTTTATCATTGCTTTATGGCTTTTCTCATATTCTGCTGACATTTCTTCACTCAGGGCATCCTGCGCACTCCAGATACCATCCGTCGTTTCCAGAGTGTTCCCACTCAGCCTGGCCAAACCTCCCCCTTGCTGCAATACTTTGGTATCCTGTTAGACCAGGGTCAGCTCAATAAGTTTGAGTCCCTGGAGCTTTGCAGGCCTGTCCTCCAGCAGGGGCGAAAGCAGCTTTTGGAAAAGTGGTTGAAGGAAGACAAGGTACTGTACATCCATCTAAGCGCCAGCTCGCAGGAAGTCGCTCTTCCTGAGCTGCCTGTTATGTTTACACAACTTGCCTGTTATCTTGGATCAAGCAGGATCACGTGATATGCAAGGAATTTAGGAAGTCCCCTTCAGAAACTTTGAATCTACAAATTCTCCATGGTTAAGAAAAAAGTGAATTATGCATTTGAGTTGATTTTCATTCACTTAATATTTGCTATATTTTCTATATCAGTGGAGAACCAATCCCAACAGTCTTAGAGAGGTCCATCAAGAGTCCATCAAAGTGTTAATACTATAATCTAGATCAGATCTCTAATCCCTAAACCTAACCAAGGAAGGAAAAAAGAAACTAAAATCCGGCAGAACAGCTTGTGATAAAAGACCGAAACAGCCTGTGAAGGCACACAACAATGTGTCCCGCTGGGAAAGTTTCTGCCTTTCCTCAGCCATCCCTCAAGACTTTATTTGAAGCAGTGCATTGTCAGGGATTGTAACATCTAGTCCTTTTACTGAAACGGTGTTAAGATTATTTTATTGTCATACACTTATTATTTGCATTTAAACAATGTTTTTTTTTTTGGTTGTTGTCTTTTTCATAATTGTCTCTCTTAAACGTCTGATGCTTCTTGTGTATTCCAGTTGGAGTGTTCTGAAGAACTGGGTGACTTGGTGAAGGCGGTGGATCCTACCTTGGCTCTCAGTGTGTACCTGAGGGCCAACGTTCCCAACAAGGTCATTCAGTGCTTTGCAGAGACTGGTCAGTTTCCTAAGATTGTCCTGTACGCCAAAAAGGTATGTCTAAGATTGCACTTGGCCATTACTTTTAATTATCTGTACTCTGGATTTTATTTATTTTTTAATCTAGTTTAATGAAATTGGTTCTGACCATTAAGTGGAGTGGAGAGAGCTTGTTGGTTATTGTAGCATTTTCTTTCTTTGTTCCAGGTCGGCTACACACCAGACTGGATCTTTCTGCTCAGGAATGTGATGCGGATCAATCCAGAACAGGGCCTGCAGTTCGCACAGATGCTAGTCCAAGATGAAGAGCCACTGGCTGACATTACACAGGTAGGATATGAAGGATATGTAGTGATGCAGTATGTTTTTATTTTTGATACAGTAGTTCAACAGAGTTATTATTTTATTTTGAAATTGTGTTATGTGACCTTGAGGTCACTTAATTATCACTTTCTCTGTGATTAACCAGTCAGCCTGAAATTGTCCCAGAATGTAAACAAATAGAATTTTTAAGTGCAGAATGAGTTTACAGCTACAACAGTTACAATGCAGACTTTATTTGCAGTAGGCATGGCTGCAAACCGTATATGTGTGAAGTTGGAGAAGCATGCGCTTTCTTAAGTGAGTGAATGAATAAAACATGCTTCATGTTGTTTTCATGTTTATTTGTCAAGTACTTGGTAACAAATAAACAACTGACCAATACAAAGGACAATAGTCGTTGTTGTGCTCTGGAGCCTCCGTGATCTCAGTGTTAGGGGCACATTAAGCAGTTCTCTGGCTGCCGCAGGTTCTGGTCAGTGTTTCTCTAGCTAGCAACAGAGCAACAAGGACTGCTGTCACCAGCTGCAGTTCAAGAAGGTGGAGTTAGCTGTATTTGGCCACAGAACCAGAGCCTCTCTGGGATGGCCTGAGAAAGACATTGAGGACCACTACAACAACAACCCGGCCACACAGCAAGGAGTGCAGGACAAGAAGGGTAGCTGGGTAGCATTAGCCGAACTTTCAAAATAAAGGCACGGGTGTTTCAGTAGTAAATTGAAAAGGATGTCATCATTCTGTTAGGCAGAAATGACAACTAAAAAAAAAATACTATTTGGTGTTTATTATTGTGTCATATACTTATGCCTGCCTACTTCAGTGTGGAAAACACTGAATAAGTTTATTGAGCATAAGTATTAGAGATGGCACGACACCACTTTTTTATGTCCAATACCGATATCATAAATTTGGATATCTGCCGATACCGATATGACTCTGATATAGTGTGTTTTTTAATCAATAAAACTGTTTGTTTGTTTTTTTAATATTTTGTTCATACTCAAGTTTAAAAAAACCCACTAAAGCTATTCTGTTAAACCTGTATGCAAAAAATACACTGCACCCAAAATATTTCATAGTTCAGCAATAATGAGCTAATAAACTTAAACCTGCACCATCCTCCCTATTCTGGTATTTTAAAGAGTATTTAGAATCAGAATCAGAAAGGGGTTTATTGCCAAATGTTGAGCAGGTTTACAACATTAGGAAATTGCTGCGGTGCTTCAGTGCAAACATACTGTCATAAATTGCGCTTAAATAGACATGAAAAAAATAGAAGTTCATGCCCTATCGGCCCCCCTGGCTAAACTTTGCTAGATCCGCCCCTGCACAGTTACGTCAGCTGTAGAAAAAGATCCTCGAGTAGAAAGTAATATTAAATACATTCTAACAACAGCTGATCAAGCTTAAACGTGCTGCTGCTGTTTATCTGCTGGTTTCCTCTTTCTGGTGCAAAGTGGGCCAAAAACAAACGAGAGACGGACTCGCGACAGAAAAGCCGATCAGCTGATCATTGATCAGTTTCATGATTGAAGTAGCAGCAGGAGAGAGACAGAGAGAGGCAGTCGCTCCATATATCGGTTGTTAAGCTTAACGCTGGAATGCTTTACAAACACTCAGAGATGGACTTACACACTTGCTTTACTCCTCTCTGGGATCACTTCCTCTGAGATGCTGGTTTGGTAGCGAGGCTCCAAATGCTCAACCAGACCGCCGACAGGTCTCGCACGCCACAGCCTCTCTATCACGTGACGCGTACTGGTCCGACGTGCTACGGTTATGAGCAGAGTTACGCCGTGTCGCAAGTTTTGTGAGGTGCTTTTTTGATATTTAATGGATCGGGCTACATTTTGTTTTTTATTTCTCTTCGATATCCGATCCAGTAATTTAGGTCAGTATCGGATCGATACGTAATATCGATCGGTCCATCCCTAATAAGTATATAATATACTAGTTTATAATGGTGGAAAACACTGAACAAGTTTGAGCACACATTTATGTTTCTAAATCTTGCCTTTCACATGGTATAAAGGAAATTCACCTCTTTACTTCCTGCCTGTGCATAACCTCCGTGCTGCAAATGTCAACCGCTAACACAGCTCGTGTTCCTAAAGTGCAACAGAGCAGCTGATAGGAACACAAATCATTGCATCACAGGCGGGCTTTTTTTTTTTTTTTTAAACGGTTACTGTATTCAGACAACTTTCACTTGTCATTGCAACTTGTCTAAAAGCTTTAGAGAACTGTGTGGGCTGCATTCCTCACATTTAATCCTTTAAGTGGTGCCGAACATTAGACTGCTGACAAGAATGTTGGGTTTATATCAAAGGTAAAAGCTGCAGTAAATAAGTGCTACCATATTTGATACAAACAGGCCTTTTTGTTGTTTTTTTTTAATACTTCTCAGCTGTACAAGTGTAGTCTAATTTTTGGTTTATTTCTTACCTGTGGTTCTGTTTTTGTCCAGATTGTGGATGTGTTTATGGAGTACAACCTGATTCAGCAGTGCACATCATTCCTTCTGGATGCCCTGAAAAACAACAGACCCTCAGAAGGACCTCTCCAGACTCGCCTGCTGGAGATGAACCTCATGCATGCACCACAGGTAGACCAATATGCACACACTGGAATAAATGAAATGAATCCATTTGTTAAGCATGAATCACTGTTTTCTAATGATTCGTCTCATGGTGTAGGTTGCTGATGCAATCCTGGGCAACCAGATGTTCACCAACTATGATCGTGCCCACATTGCCCAGCTGTGTGAGAAAGCTGGACTCCTGCAAAGAGCACTCGAGCACTACACTGACCTGTATGACATCAAGCGTGCTGTGGTGCACACACACCTGCTCAACCCAGAGGTAGGCTTCACTTACCTACACAGTCAAAGTGTTTTCCCATCTGGCAAATGTGTCATTGCTTGTTGTAGATTGTACAGCCTCTGAATTAACTTTTTTTTTTCCCCCACACAACCTCCAGTGGTTGGTGAACTACTTTGGCTCGTTGTCAGTGGAAGATTCTCTGGAGTGCCTCAGGGCCATGCTCTCAGCTAACATCCGCCAGAACCTGCAGATCTGCGTCCAGGTGGCGTCCAAGTACCATGAACAGCTCACCACACAGGCTCTCACTGAACTCTTTGAGTCCTTCAAGAGCTTTGAAGGTGAGACATAAAAATTCATTCTTAACATTCTTTATTATATCAGTAATCCATAATCCAGCCAATACAAATAGCTCACTTGTACCTACTGCTCAACATGGTTTTTAGGGTTTTCCATTAGATGGTAGTACCTGCTACCAGGTACTTCTTTAATACCTACTTGACCGGGGTTCCAAGCAATCTGAATGTGTGACGTCAGCAGACTACATGCCACTGCTTGGCATGTAGTCACAATGAGTCATGAAAGCATCTCCTTCACCAACATCAAAATTGCCATTTTTGAAACCCAGTAATAAGGGACAAGCATTTTAGATGGTACTCGATTATCAGGGAAAACGAGACGATCTGAGTAGGTACTAATAGAAAAGGGCTGTAATGAAACTGATGGGAAACCCAGTTCAGTTAATGAGGAAGTATTGAAAAGTCATTGAAATAGTCATGATTTGTTTGCATCAGTTTGACTGAAATATTTCTGTAAGAAGACTAGCTGCTGGAAAAGCATTTGGCTCGTCTCTGTTTCGTTACCGTTGCTATTACCTCCTAACCCTGTACTTGGATAGATGTTGCTCAGCTGTCAGTCAGGCCAGAACAGAGGCAGGACGATCGATAAATAGTGCAGGATGCTCTAGAGGTGAACTAGTGCAGCTCATCTGTAGTGACTGGAGTAATAGAGCATAAAGGTGCGGTAAACTAATTGGGGAAGAACAATATTTTAATGTCAGCAATGTCCCTATCCACATGGATCCCATTTGAAGCTTAATTTTAACTGTGTGTTCCCCTCAGGTTTGTTCTATTTCCTGGGCTCTATTGTAAACTTCAGTCAGGATCCTGAAGTTCACTTCAAATACATCCAAGCTGCCTGCAAGACGGGCCAGATCAAAGAGGTGGAAAGGATCTGCAGAGAGAGCAACTGCTACGATCCTGAGCGTGTCAAGAACTTCCTCAAGGTAGTGACAGGGATGACTGGAGCGATCAAACACTGACACAAGCAGCTTTTATGACTTTGACTCTTTAATTGTTGTTATTCTTTTACCCTCGCCCGTTATATCTCAGTTGGTTCCTACTGGTGCTTGTTTGTAAACTGTAACGCTGTCAGAACTTTATCAGTAGTTATATGAATTTAATGTTGGTTGATCAAAAGTTTAAACTCTCCTGAAATCTCTATTTTATAATCAGACGTTGCTTACAGTGCTTAGTCTGTCTTTATATTCTATAGAAAAGCCAAGCTGCACACATTGACAGTTTACCTGTATTTGTTGCAAATTGTTCAACCAGCAGTCCTGATGGCAGTCAATTATCTTTTGTCCTTTTCCTCTTTTGTCTTTGGAATGGCAGGACATGTATCAGGTAAATCTATTCCTCCCCACAGTGCAGGATTCATTCCCTGCTTTTCTTTCACCCCTTTCCCATTATTTTCAGACACATGATTGAAACTGGGATTTGTATGGAGGCGTATATGTTTATACACCACAGTCCATACACCTGCTGGGGTGTATCTATGTGTAGCCACTGATCTATTAACTTTACGTAGTCGTAGTCATTCATTGGCTCTTGTGTGTGCAGGTAACGGTGACCGTGTTAGGCTCCTTTACTTCACATTTAAACACAGAAAGTGTCGGTTTGTGTTGTGTGTAATCTTGTAAGGAGCTTTTTTTCTAGTGCAGCATGTTGTTGGATAGTCGTGTCAAGATGCACAATCCCAGTTTTGTTTTTTAAATCCTGTGGATGGCAGCAGTGTGTCAGTACTGCTTAGTGAGAACTGGCATCTCTGCTTATTAGTATGAAGGAGGTTTATTGTTCTTTAGTGCGAAACACACACGTTGTTTTCAATAGTTTGACCATCCCTTTAGCCTCCCTAGCTAACAAAGCCAAGACGCTTGATTTTGTTTCTATGTGGTTTTTTAACTGATTAAGTCCTGGTACTTTTAAATAACAGACATTTTTTGGTGATTATAATTATAGAGGGCAGAAACCAAACCAATCTAAACATTCGCCTGTGTACAGATTCACTGACTACACTCTTCCCCATTACTGTGATGCACAGGAAGCCAAACTAACTGACCAGCTCCCACTCATCATCGTCTGTGACCGTTTCGACTTTGTCCACGACCTGGTCCTCTACCTGTACCGCAACAACCTGCAGAAATACATTGAGATCTATGTTCAGAAGGTAAGAGTCAACACAGAGACATTTAGTTTTCAGAGCACGGTTCATTCACAGATCAAGGAGAGATTTATTGTGAAACCTTTGCTTAGGTAAATCCGAGCCGTCTGCCTGTGGTGGTTGGTGGCCTCTTAGATGTGGACTGCTCTGAGGATGTCATCAAGAGTCTGATCCTGGTTGTCAGAGGACAGTTTTCCACGGATGAACTGGTCGCTGAGGTGGAAAAGAGGAACAGGTGCTGCACACATTCAACTTATGTTATTTTCTAAAACATAATAAATTTTTACCTGACACTTATTCTTCAGTGTAATTCAGGGAGCTGTATGGACGTTAACGAGTGAATATCAGGAGGGAAACTGTGATGCAGATGTTTACGGCTCCTTTTGGAGCTGGCTTTTGTCAAAAAACCTTTTTTTAATCATTTGAAATAAAAATTTATATATACATATATATGATTTATATTTGTATAATTGTATTACTCATCGTTTACAGCTTACTGAAACTAGATTTGACCCAAGCGTCAAAGCTGTATACGTAGCCAGGGATAGTTCTGACGTCCGCTGTCCTTGCAGGCTGAAGCTGCTCCTGCCCTGGCTCGAGTCTCGTATCCATGAAGGCTGTGAAGAGCCAGCAACCCACAATGCTCTGGCCAAGATCTACATTGACAGCAACAACAACCCTGAACGCTTCCTGAGGGAAAACCCTTACTATGACAGCCGTGTGGTGGGAAAGTACTGTGAGAAGAGAGACCCCCATTTGGCATGTGTAGCTTATGAGAGAGGACAGTGTGACCAGGAGCTGATCAATGTGAGCAAGACGATTTGATGCCACCAGTCCAAGTTTCAGCCAATCCAGTTCTGTTGTTGTGAACTTAACTGTAGCACAAAGCACTGTAATTCTTTCTTTCTTCCGTCAGGTCTGCAATGAGAACTCCCTTTTCAAAAGCTTGTCTCGCTACCTTGTACGACGCAGAGACCCTGACCTGTGGGCCAGTGTGCTGCTGGAGACCAATCCCTACAGGCGACCACTTATTGATCAGGTACGCACACGAGTTCTGTGGGTTTTTAATCTCCCTGCCCGCCAGCACTGCTTCTCTAAGCTTACTTACTTTGTGCTGTCAGGTGGTGCAGACAGCACTGTCAGAAACCCAGGACCCAGAGGAGGTTTCGGTCACAGTCAAGGCTTTCATGACTGCTGACTTGCCCAACGAGCTCATTGAGCTGCTGGAGAAGATTGTGTTGGATAACTCAGTCTTCAGTGAACACAGGTGCTGTAGTGCTGTACTGTTTATCCAGAGTTATTTTAAAACTGCACAGAAATCCTGATCTTTTTCTTTCTCACACAGAAATCTGCAGAACCTGTTGATCTTGACGGCCATCAAGGCTGACCGTACTCGAGTGATGGAATATATCAGCAGGCTAGATAACTATGATGCCCCTGACATCGCAAACATTGCCATCAGTAATGAGCTCTTTGAGGAGGCCTTTGCCATCTTTAAAAAGTTTGATGTCAACACCTCTGCTGTGCAGGTCTGTTCTTATTTTCTCGACACTTGGACAAATAATCGTATTACCTGAAGAAGGTTTGATATTACTTCCTGTCTGCCTCCTGCCCCACAGGTGCTGATCGAGCATATTGGCAACTTGGACCGAGCCTATGAGTTTGCAGAGCGCTGCAATGAGCCCGCTGTGTGGAGCCAGCTGGCCAAGGCTCAGCTGCAGAAGGGCCTTGTTAAGGAAGCCATTGATTCCTACATCAAGGCTGACGACCCCTCTGCGTACATGGAGGTGGTACAGGCTGCTGATACGAGTGGTACGCAGAATGATCTCACTAAATTAGAGCAGGTTTCAGTGAAGGCTGTTAGTTGTGTGCTCGTGCCACTTTAATTGAAAGCAATTAATCAATCAATCAATTACATCGACTGTGTTATCGGGTCTTAGATGGCAGCCTGTGCAGTAGCTTTGCTTGTGCAGCAGATATGAAAGGATTACTGTGAAAACAGAGCAACAGCCTCATTAATGTAAATATGTTGCAGGTAACTGGGAGGACTTGGTCAAATTCCTGCAGATGGCTCGTAAGAAGGCCCGCGAATCCTACGTAGAGACCGAGCTGATCTTTGCTTTGGCCAAAACCAACCGCCTTGCTGAACTTGAGGAGTTCATCAATGGGCCCAATAATGCTCACATCCAACAGGTTGAGCTCACTCTCACGCAGAGTCACTCACGCTCTGACGAGCCGACGGGTCATCGATGAAATAATGTTTATTGTACTTTTTATTTGCTTTAGGTTGGTGACCGCTGCTATGATGAGAAAATGTATGAGGCCGCTAAACTGTTGTACAACAACGTTTCCAACTTTGGTCGTCTGGCTTCAACCCTGGTGCACCTCGGAGAGTACCAGGCTGCTGTGGACGGCGCCCGTAAGGCCAACAGCACCCGCACCTGGAAAGAGGTGTGCTTCGCCTGTGTGGATGGACAGGAGTTCAGACTGGCGCAGATGTGTGGTCTCCATATCGTAGTGCACGCCGATGAGCTGGAGGAGCTGATTAACTACTACCAAGTAAGAGATCGATGAGAAGCATTATTGTCCTTAAAATAAATTCAGAAGTTTGAAATCTGGCATAATGATTTTGAGGTGTGCAGCTCTCGTAGCTTAGCCCAAAAATGAGCAAACATTTGACGACCTCCCATCGCTGTTGTTCTCTCTCAGGACCGTGGTTACTTTGAGGAGTTGATTACCATGCTGGAGGCCGCCCTGGGCCTGGAGCGTGCTCACATGGGGATGTTCACAGAGCTGGCCATTCTCTATTCCAAGTTCAAGCCCCAGAAGATGAGGGAGCATCTGGAGCTCTTCTGGTCAAGAGTTAACATCCCAAAGGTCCTGAGAGCAGCAGAGCAGGCTCACCTGTGGGCCGAACTTGTCTTCCTGTATGACAAATACGAGGAGTACGACAACGCCATCATCACCATGATGAACCACCCGACAGATGCCTGGAAGGAGGGCCAGTTCAAAGACATCATCACCAAGGTACAGTTTAATTGGATATCACAATCACGACTTGTTTTTGTTTTTTTTCTTCCCAACAAGGATGCACAACGTTGACCGTTTGTGTCTTACATTAATGTAGCAGTAAAATCTTGGCTGGTCTGGTACGAGTCAAGCTAATTACAATTTTCCAGCAGTCTGCAAAAAACAGAAGCCAATACATTTATCTCCTAATGCAGTGTTTTGTTTTTATTAACAGATTTGTTTAGAAGCATGAAATCATTTCTTTGCTTCTGTGTGTGCTGTAGGTGGCCAACGTGGAGCTGTATTACAAAGCCACCCAGTTCTATCTGGAGTTCAAACCATTGTTACTGAACGATTTGCTTATAGTGCTTTCCCCCAGACTGGACCACTCACGCGCCGTCAACTTCTTCACCAAGGTACATGTTGTTCCATGTCATAATGATTCAGATGCATCAGGCTGGTTTCCTCTGTGGTTCAAACTGGGCTGAGCACTGAGCGCACTTGTGTGTTAACAGGTGAAACAGCTGCCTCTGGTCAAACCGTACCTACGGTCAGTACAGAACCACAACAACAAATCGGTCAACGAAGCACTTAACAACCTCTTCATCACAGAGGAGGACTATCAGGTGAGTAACTGTGGATTTAGTTCAATGTTCTGTTATTTCAAAAATACCCACCTCACGCTTTCATTTTCTGCGTACTCCTGCTAGGCACTGAGAACATCAATAGATGCCTACGATAACTTTGACAACATCTCACTGGCCCAGCGCTTGGAGAAGCACGAGCTGATTGAGTTCAGGAGAATCGCTGCCTACCTGTTTAAGGGCAACAACCGCTGGAAACAGAGCGTAGAGCTCTGCAAGAAGGACAAGCTTTATAAGGTGCCCCTTCCGTTTGAGTGCTCAGGTTAAGGTAAGCAGGTGTGTTGCACTCTTCCTGACCCTCTGTGTGCTGCCTCTCGCTCTGCAGGATGCCATGCAGTATGCTTCAGAATCCAAAGACACAGAGCTGGCAGAGGAGCTGCTGTCCTGGTTCCTGCAGGAGAACAAGAAGGAGTGTTTTGCCGCCTGCCTGTTCACTTGCTACGATCTGCTACGACCTGATGTGGTGCTGGAGACCTCCTGGAGGCACAACATCATGGACTTTTCTATGCCGTACTTCATTCAGGTCATGAGGGAGTACCTCAGCAAGGTGAGTCGGCTCTTCTCAAGTTTCCTGTTAGATGGTCACTCAAAAGATCTGAGGACACGTTGGCACACGAGGAATCCTCAGTGAAATAAAACTTGCACAATTTTGTCTGATTACATCTCCAGCCGACTCTGCCAGTTTGTTTTTTTTAAATGTTCATCTCCTGTGCTGCTCCTCTTCTCTTTCAGGTTAATGCAGTTAAGGAACAGGTGACAGTTTAAAGCTCTGTGTTTGATCAGCATTCAGTTTAGGAGATTGCAGCCTGGAGTGTGCATGGTTTTAGCTCTAATGCTCTTTGCGCACTCAAAAACTGATCAGTCGGTCAAACTGGTTTTGTAATTGTTGGGCAACTATTCATATAGGCTGTAATACAAAACTTGGTATAGCCGTAGCATGTAAGTATGTAAGTTTTATTATTCAGTATGTTGTTCAGTGGCGTCGACGCAGTGATTTGAAGCATTCCTGTGAAGTTGGGCGCGTCAACAATTATAAAAAATGATATACCGCATATCTAAAGTGCATTTACCTCCAGCTGTGTAACACTGTTGGGTTTTTGTGTTGCATTCTGATGCTTGGGACTTGATGCATGTGTGTTAACCAAAAACAAAGTCTTGCTCATACATACCTGCAGGCTGTTGGTTTGCCCGGCTTCATGCACAAGGCTTTGAACGATAGGAAGCACCTGAAGTAACTTGGCTCCGCCTCTAAATAAGCTGCGTCTTACTGCTGCAGCAGTGTGACACAAACAGCATGGGACACTCAGCAGCTTGGTCTCACTGCTTTTAATTAAAGGGCTGCTGTTTGTTACACTGCATGGACAAACTGAATGTGCACACGGGGTGTGGAAGTAAACTGCTGAGCAAGCCTTTATTGCTGTGTTTTAGAAACAACATGCATCCAGCTGCTGCTGCTTTCCCCTTTGGACCGTAGAAGTCCATTCTGCATATTGCTGCTAGCAGTTATCTGACTCACTGCTCAGAAAGGTTCCTCCTGCTCTCACTTGTATTCATGTATATTGCTGGTTGACAGGAACTGACTTATTTCCTGCCTCTGTGAGGCAGAAGCAGGGAAACACTGGACCATCATAGCAACCCCAGTCTCAGCATTTATGCCCAAAAAAGATGTTAAAACAACGACTGCTGTTTTCGACTGCAGAAGCCGTTACTGATCATTCACGTTTCATTAGTTGACTATTAAGAAATAAAGGGCAACAGCTTTTGCTACTAAACGTAACTGAGGATGTCATAAATGGTTGTATTTTTAAAATCATGCAAAATATGGCACTTTATTAACGTTTTTATTGCAGTTGGAAGTTCTCAGTTGCCTCTGTGGGTTCATGTGATCCCACATTGACACGTATGGTTGAGCTCGGGGCTCTGAGGGCTCGCACCATCTGCTGCAAGAGTCTGTTATTGTTAAGAGATCGTGTGTTGACCCCTACTTTTTTTTTCCTGACCTTGAACCGTGTAAGTTTCATTTTTAAGGGTTTCAGCGTTTTGCTAAATGTATTCATTTATTCTGTTTGCAGGTAGATAAACTTGAAACCTCAGAGTCTGTAAGGAAAGAGGAGGAGCAGGCAACAGAGACGCAACCCATCGTCTACGGTAACCTCAACGTCCACTTATCGTGATCAGTATCCAGGAGAACGCTTTGCTTTCTCGTCTTTCACTTTGTGGTTCCAGGGTCCTCTGTAGTCACTCGGTTTAATCACTGTGAATTCTTTAAGTCATGAAAGGTCCTGAAAACCTGGCTTTAACTTGTTGTTATACTTCTGATGACATAAAAACAAAACCAGCTTCCAGTCTAAGCTTTTAAATCTGAACGAGGAAACAAAAACAAATGTGCATGTGTGAAATGTTTCCTCTGTGTGTCGGCTCGCAGGAACACCCCAGCTGATGCTGACAGCAGGCCCAAGCGTCCCTGTGGCCCCTCAGCAAGCGTATGGCTACGGCTACCAGGCGCCCGCAGGATACGGTCAACCAGCAGCTCAGCCAGGCTTCGGCTATGGCATGTAAAGACCCCAGCTCCTTATCTCCACTTACAGGGTGGAGCTTCCATCCATCCATCCCCCACAGTCCTTCACCACACCATTACCCTCTCGCTCTGCCTTCAACAGGGAGAGAACAGCAACAAACTCGTCTTCATCTTTCTTTTGTTTTTAAACCTTTCTTTACCCCCCTTAAACTGCCATGAAGGACTCAGTTTTTTTTCTGTTGTCAAACGAAAGGTTTGAATCACAAAGATTTAATTTCCTCACATTCCGTATTGACTACATTAATTTTTCTTATGTTTATTTTATTTGAATGGGAAATGGTTTATGTACAATGGGAGGGTTGGTTTGTGGGAAGAGCTGGTCTTCTCCAAAAAAAGAAAAAAAAAAACCACACAAACACACAAAGGTCTGTTGTGAAGCATCTGGTTTGCACTCTGTAGTGAGAAGAAATAATGTAGAACCGCTTCCTTTTGATGTGCGTGAGCAGCTTCTTCTTTCAGACTGTAAAATGCATTTAATTATTGTATATTCAGACACATGGCCGCTGCTTCCGTCCCCACAATCCTGAAACACTACGCTGTCCCATTAATGCCCCAAACTCAAACTTCAGGGCTGGTTTGATGAAGAAAATCCCAGAAGAGTATTTTACGTACAATTTACAGGAAAGTTTGGTTCTTTCCAGCAAAGCCTATGCAGAAAAACATTTACTTCCAGATGACATGTCTATGTGCTTTACACACGGCTTTAATGTGGGACGATTCCAGCTTAGGAGGGGCTGCAGACCTGTTTGTGCTCGACTAACAACCCCCCCCCCCTCCCTTTATGCTGTGGTTTGTTTCTGCAGGAGACATTTGTCAAACTTTATTCTCCTGTTTGATTAGATTGAATGTTAAGTTGAACTCCTCTAAATCAGAAACAATATCACAACACTTGTGGGATTGTGAAGGTTTTTTTTCTTAAGGCTTGTGTGTGTGTATACAGGAAATCAATCATTAACTCCTTTGAACTTATATTCTTATCTCAATTACCTTAGATTTAAATTGTGCACTTAAGATACTTGATTGTGCATAATCAGGATCATAATGAATGAAACAGCGGTTTTGTTTTCCACTTAAAAAATAAAATAAAGGCTTCTTGTTTGTCAAGAAAAGTGTGACCGTGTCTTGCATGTGCTGTAACAAACTCTCACAGTTCTGATGGGGGTGATGACAGTGACATATATTTTTGTCTCTACTACAACCGTAACGATCAGTGATTGCTAAATCTGAAGTCCCAAACGTGATGCAGGTGCAGTACAAAACCTTTGTTGAAGAGAGGAAATGTGTAGGAACTCGTTGCGCACGTTACTGGACGACCCTGAATGTTCTTCTGTTTGTTTTGAGACATTTCGTTTTCTGTGGCTGGCTAACAAGTGCTTGTGTGCGTGCTCGGTTTGTACTGCTATAAATGTTCAATATGGCACCCAGCTGCGAATATATTGTGTCATGTTTTGCCTCTAGGGGGTGCTATAGTAAAATAAAGCTCTATGCAAGTCATTTCAGCTATTATGCACTAAAACCGGCACTGCTTAAAAAATACTAAGGGACCACTTAAATTACAAATCCGCTCCCGATTAATAACATTCAATTTGAAATTCTATGCTGTCATCAGATGCACAAATAGCCGATGTTCCACAGGTTTTAATTGGATTCATGTCAGAGGAACGCGCTGGCCGCGAGGCCGAGCTTTGTCCATACCAGCAGGATCCCACTGCACCATCTAAAGGTCTGGCAGGCAGTCTCAGAGGTACATGCCTGTAGCTAACAGCAGTCAGGGTACCGCTGGCCAGCAAGTCTGTTTGGCCATCCAAGGATAAACCTCTCCAGACCATCAATGACCTTCTGCCAACTGGCTCATGTTGGATATTATTGCTGCTGGCGTAACTGTTCACCATGAGATCTCCAGACTTTGTTACAGGTGCTCAGTGTGAACCTGCAGTCATCTGTAAAGTGGAGGACCTGTTATCAGGTGAACGCCAGATGCACCGGGCTGTGAGGTCATCCCACGCTATGTCGCGATGTCACGCAATGAGTGTGTCCAGCAGTTCAGTCAGAAACATGCACAAGTAGGCTGCTGAAGGGGATTTTGTGGAGCTCTGCATTTAACTGACCTTGATGTAGTGGGATGATAAAGAGTCACCTTCGTTTTTTACAGTGTAGAAACATTGCTTATGATTAAAACGTGAACGTCTTTTCCCGACCCGGAAAACACGAGGTCAAGCAAAGAATCGCGGTGCTCAGACGATATGACTGCACTCACGTTAGACTACCTAATAATGTGGCAGCAGATGTTACTGTGTTTCATAAAAGTGGGCAGGCAGACGCAAAACGTTCAGGGCTGGAATTTTTAAATACGTAGCACAACAGTGAAACATTGGTTGTATTTACACACATGGCTCTGATCTGTAGCCTTAAACTCAGTTACATGAATGCAACCAATTGTCTTTATTTGGCACTTTTATAAACTCACATTTAAAGTGTTTCACACTGAAACGGCTTCATACGAAGCAGATTTTAATACAGCAGCGTTACGAACACTAATAGCGTGACATCATCTCCTTTCTAGTCGGCGCATCTTTCTTTACCTTCTAGAGGATTTGACCAGCTCATGATGACTGACCTGTAGACAAAAGCTTTTCTCATTTTAAACATGTTAAAAATAAGGTGATTTTCTGAACTGCTGTTCTGTAAAACCTCCACCTCTGCTTTGTAACTGTGGCTTTCATCAGCAGCACCCCATCAATTAGTTTTCTAGTTACAAATAAAAAAAACAAACCCAAAACATTATTTTATAGGAAAAAATAAATGCCATTGAGTCTCAGCACCATTGTGATGTTACATTCATTTAAGCTGCTCTGCTGCTTCAGTGCAACATCACAGTATGAGTGCCTACAAATCAATCTTCTCATTAGTAGTACATAATTTGGACAAAGGTTATTAAATCATCATATTTCTGAGCGTCCCGTTGATGTGAACTGCTCCGTGTCACTGAGCTATCACAGTAAAAGTACAAATGTGTCATTACTGAACTAAGCCCTGCAATAAAACTCCTGGTAGCTCAGCTGAAAGCTGGATCTCTAGTAGAGCTTCAAGTCTCCAGTGACACTGTCGATCAGATCGGCCAGGCCCGGGCCGACGCCCAGCACGGTGCGTGAGCCCGGTGCGATCTGTGTCCTTCCTGCATCCTGGATCAAGCTAACGGGAAGTCCCACTTCCTTGGCGCGGCCTAGCAGGTCAATCAGGGTGTCCTCGTCAGGCGCCTTCACCACCACTTTGGGCTGGCCACAGTATTCCCACTGTCTGAGCAGCTCAGGGTTCCTGCGTTGGACCTGCTTGTAAGCCGACACAGCAGCATGGGCACACTGGGCAGCAACTTTCCCTTTGCCCATCTTTAGGTCATTCCTGACCACCAGAATCATTTTGAACTCGCCTCCTTCTCCCATCACGCTTGCTTCTCCAGAGCCATTCCCTTTCAACAGACTTTTGGATGTTGCGCCAAAGCGGGCCCCAAGGCGCCAACCAAGAAGGAGCCCACAGCCAAGGCCAGCTGCTACACCCAAGACCAACGGGCCATATGACAAGTCCATACTTTAAACCTGGAAAAATCAGAAACAGGTTAGGGCTACACACACACACAGGAAATACACTGTAACTGCTCCAGAGGAGGTCTCTGAATAAATAAGTCTTCCCATTTTAACATAAAAAATGTCCATATTCAAATTTCCATTTTGCGCTGTAATTCGGGAACTTTGCTTCAAAGAGGTTCGAAGGCGGGTTTTTCTAACTGTCTGTGAAGGTTCTCAGTCATCCAGGTCATCGTAGTCAAAGGAGCTTGCAAAGAAAAGCGTCTGGACTTCTTTAAGTTACTTGAAGACGTTTCACCTCTCATCCGAGAAGCTTCTTCAGTTCTAAGGTCAAATATCTGGGACTCTCCACCATTTGACCTTAGAACTGAAGAAGCTTCTCGGATGAGAGGTGAAACGTCTTCAAGTAACTTAAAGAAGTCCAGACGCTTTTCTTTGCAAGCTCCTTTGACGTTTTTCTAACTGGTTCACGTGCTGTTCACGTGCTACACTCGCTGACTTTGAGCCTCCAGGTTACAAACACGTTTGAAAAGCAGGACTTCAGAATGACACGAACAGACGCACACGGTAGAAGAAAGGAGGAAACAGCAGGACCACACCGGTCACATTTCATACCTACTGCTCGGCAAGAAGAAACGTCTTCTGCCTCACTTCCCGTCGCTTGGTGATGACGTCACACAACAGCTGTTTCGTCTTTGTTAACGATGCTCCGAAGTTGCATGAAATGTACCAGCTTTATCCATCGTAATCTCTTTTAAACTATACACTGTACCTATTCAATCTCCTTGTTATATTTCATTTATTACTAATTTTTATTAAAATTATTATTTTAACTACCGTAACCAAACATTTCCCCAGGTATTTCTTATCTAGTCTGAAGTAAACTTGTGCTTTTTCTTTAATCAATAACCGAAAAAATTACGAAAACCAATTAGACAAAAATCAAACTGCGTGCATGTTCTTCAGAAACACATCTGCTGACGTCGTTAAGCCAACAGGAAGCGGTTTCGTTTGCACAGCTTTTGTTTGTTTGTTTGTTTTTTTTAATTTATTGAGCAATTGAAAATACAAACGGTCAAAGACGATGACAGTGATAACAATACAAATTACAACGAACAGTACAAAAGTACAAGAAATATAGAATTAGAGGAATTATGAATAATAGAAAAAAATACATTTAAAAACAAAACAGAAAATATTCACATGGCAGGCATTTAAATTTTGCGTAAAGGAGAGCAATGAAAAAATAAAATAAGATAAGTCAAAATAGCAGGAGACGGGCAATGCCCTGATAAATATTTTTGCCATATTTGCTCTTAGTCTTTTTAAGCAAAGAAAAAAATAACTTTAAATCATTAATAAAACAAAGAAGGCGTCGAGTTCCTCGATTTAGCACAATGGATATGATATTTACCCAACAGTATGATGATGTTAATAATGTCTGAGACACCCAAAGCTAGATGATCCATATAAGAAATAATATGACATAGTTCGAATGGTTCAGGATTCAAAGATTCAAAGTGTTTATTGTCACGTGTACAGAAGAAATAGCATTTCTCTGTGCAATGAAATTCTTCCTCTGCTGTCCAAACACAAATGCCAGGTTAGGTTGAAGGAACAAGATAAATAATGATAAAAATAATGAAAGATAAATAAATAAGTACAAAAATAAGTAAGTGAAGACAAGTGAGGTATGCAGATGTCGATGGATGTACAAAGGAGCTTAATGTGCAGAATAACTTAGTGGTGGCAAAAATCCAATTTGTTATGTGATCACCAAAAACATTGTGATAGTTTGCACAGGTCTTTGATTCACTGACGCCACATAAATGAGGGAGGAAGCACACTATGAAACTCACCCATCTGAAGGGTGTGTCACAGATAATACTTTGTAAATATTTGATATTTTATTAAAGACTGAAATCAGCAAATGTTCTCATGTGTTCCTCAGAAATAACGTCTTATTTCAGCTGAACTGAAGCAGCTATAAATGCTTCAGTCTAAAGCCTCGTTAGTTCAAATCAGTGTTGTGAAAGCTAGCATATCAATGGAACAAATACATGACCATATAAATATGGAAGAGTGTCCTAAAATGGTTTGAATGGTGGAGAGTTAGGATGTTATTAAGGAGAGAGGGTCTTCTTCTTTTTATAGTTGCTCCCATTATGGGCCACCATAGTAGATCCTTTGCCTCTATCTCACCCTACCCCTCCAACCGTCTTACACCAACCCTCTGCATGTCCTCCTCTACCTCATCCATGAGCTTTCTCTGTGGTCTTCCTCTTTCTGCCTGCCTGGCAGCTCCATCTTCAACATCCTTTGCATCAAATAAATTTCCTTCCTGTTGTCGCCAAGTGGAATCCAGTGGTTTTCAGTGTTTGGAGTAACACTCGAGGGTCATCTTATTGTTGGGTTTTTTTGTTTTCTGTGTTCGCCGTATCATCGTAGGGTCTTTACATTACAATATAAATCACCTGGAGGAAACAGTTTTGTGATGTGGTGCCATAAAATAAAACTGAACTGAACTGAACACGGCAGCACGGTGGTTAGCACTGTTGCAAAATTACAGACATTACTCAAAGTATGAAAGTGCCATTTAAAAATCATTCGAACATCATGTAATAGAGAAAACACAGCCGGGGAGCCTCCTTGATCAGGATCTCAGTGCTGCGTGTCTCAACAGGCTCAGGTTCAACATACTTTTACAAAATAAATAAATGAAACCTTCAAAGTCTAAGTTTTCCAATCATTTACTCTTTTATTTAACTTGAAAGCAACGACACAGCGCTGCACGAAGAGAGCCACAGATGAGAGAGCCCTGTTACTGGCTGATGTTAATGCTACTGCGTTAGGTGGCGTGTAGACTCATATGAATTCCAGTTAGTTGTAAACAAACAGGATGGACGCTGTGTGCTGCACAGTCGGATTCCCGCAGGTCGGAGGCGGAGTGACGCAGACAGAGGCCACCAAAACGAGCACACCGAGGAGGAAGCCTCCTAACTTTACTCCCCACACGACCTTGACACAGTTACACCACCAACTAAGCACAAACACATAATACTCAAATCAGCAAAGCACAAGGAACCTGTTTTAGTGTGATGTGCGGTTAAGTACCTCATCTCTGTCTTTTCATTTTGTGCCCAAATGTTGTGATGTTGTATCTTATTTGTGGCATCTGTGCAAAGACAAAGGCACAAAATCAGCAGCTTGTGGCAATACGTGTTATGGTTGCGCAGGAATGTTCAGTGTCTCGTTATGAAATAGTCCCAGTCATGACCCACAGATATGAGATGAGACATTACAGTTAAAATGTGAGTTTTATTGCAAAACTAAGGACTGTAAACCCCTCTGTTTCCAAACAGTCATTGAAGTGGACTCACTCAACTGCAAGGAAGCACTTCCCAAAGAGTGGAAGGCGAGGAAGAGCTAGCGGCGAAGCTGCTTTTAAATACATTTTCCATAAAGATGCTAAACAATGATGCTGTGCTATGTTTACCATAGTTTGTGTTTCTCCTGGACTCCTCTTGGAATCGCAGTGCAGCTCTGTGAAAGTGAAGAACGGACAGATGGGAGAAAAGTCAGTGTAATATAGAAACTGAGATTTGCTCATCAAAGACTGCAGCGTGCTGCGAGTAGTTTCAGTTCATGTCAGTTACTGGTTAAAGGTGTCACTGAGTAACGGAGACTTTTTTAAACCAGCATAAATGATCACGTTGCTTGCAGAGGTTCATTTTCCTGCCTGGTATCCAGCTGCTTCTATAACTCTCGTTGCTCCTTTCTTAGATCCTGCAGACAAAAGATGAAACGTTTGAGCGCAGGCGGCAAACTTTATTCATATTTAAGTCTCTGACTGACTTTCCAATCACCTCGTCTCTGACAGCAAAAAGACTCGTAGCAGACGTGACATCCGAAAGATGATGAAGCTGTTCATACCTTCAGTGTTTCTTCATCCTTACTATGTAAGACTATCTCCTCCAGTTTGTGGTACAGGACACAGAAAATCTTTGCTACAGCTATCAATGTGCTATTTGGTCAAAGAAGCAATTTGAAACAAAATTACCCTCAGTTTCTGCATAGCTGACCTCATTTTCTGACCTTTCCCCCTGAGATAATACAGCTGAAAGAGGAGCAGAGCATGACTGTTTCTGATTTAGCTGGAAATTCTTTCAGCTTTTACACGACTCCAGCCGTTAGAGGCAAAGTGTGGTGTTAAATCGTTACAACAAGTATACTTGGAGACCCAGACGTCGCCTCAGCAGGCAGATGTTCATTTTTGTGTCTCAGCCGCTGATTCTCTGCCTCCAATCAGGACATGAAATCAACACCAGTGATTTGCTTTTGACATCAATGAAATCTGCGACGTTTAACAGTGGCCAGCTGGTCACAGGGTCGTGAGCAGGCCTGAACTCTAAGGTGAAACAGCGTTTGTCCCGATGTCTTTTGGCTGAAGTCAAAAAAGGACACACTTGTGCATGCCTCTCACCATTTCTCTTATTAATGTTTTTTCATATTCCTGCTTCCAGAGTTTTCTCTTTGTTTCCACCTGTTGCTGTGACCTGGATACACAGTCAATCATCAACGATGTCATCATAGCGGTGCCATAACTTATTTTGAAATGTTCCACAGAGGAGTGACGTGCACAGCGTTATTCCAGTTTGTGAGACTACAGCCCATGAACAGTGCGTATATAAAAGTCCCTTCTTTGCCATTAAGTCTAGTTTAGCTGCTAAGGTTTAATATAACAAGCTCTTTTTTTACCTTTGTTATCTTCTCTCCAGGTATCGGCCCGTCCTCCAGCAGAGCTCCTTCTCCTCTCTGTAGTTGCTTACAGCATTGGAAAGTCTTCTCCTGATCGCTTCCACTTCACTACACACACACCAGGACACGAGCTGTTATACCCACAGGTGCCATATACTGTCAAACAAGTGCAAATATTTTCGCCCTGTTTTAGCACTCACATGCTTTCCTGCTTCTCTCCATCGCTCCTGCATCATCCTGCTGAATCTCCAGGTATCAGCTTTTTTAAACATGCTGGAGGTTTAACAGGTTAAAATGTAGTTTAACAAACAAACATGTCTCTGCTTTCCCACGGAGAGCTAATCAAACCGGTACATCCCACTTTCTAAGTGACATTAACTGCCGCACAGGGAATACAGACATAACATAATCCTGGGACTTCCCCAGTAAGCCCAGTGAGGTTTTTAAACTTCAAGGTAACACTGCCCCCTATTGAACAAAACAGCTAGTTTCTGTTACAAGCAGCTGTACATGATCTGACAGTAATCAGATTACATCCCGTCCACTTGCCCACATCACTGAAATCAGACTGCAAGCTGAGACGTGACAGCGTTGTGTTATGAAGGATTGTGTAACTATAAGCCTTTCATCCAGCTCGTTTGATGAGTACTAAGGAGCACAGTATTACAGGTTGACATTTTGCTTGTATTTCCCATCAGACCTTTTTAAAACAGACAATATTTCATCTCGAAGATTGTGATTTAAACACAAAGACAAATGAAGAACACAAATATGTTCCATATTAGAAAACAAAGATCGGAGGTCTACGTGTACAAATGAAATCTCCAAATACATTTCTGTGGAAAAACTTTTCATTTGGAACTATTATAATGTTTTTGTGCTTCTTTAAAATATGAACTAAATGACCTCTGACATGACTATAACTGAACTCAGAGCTACCACGTCCAGGCAGAGGCTGTACTTTGTCATTTTAACATCACATGTCGTGCGGTCGGGTGGTAAATGACACCTGCTCTGCAATCTTCCCATCATTCCGCTTTCTTAACAAGATCCCAGGAGACAGTAAACCCGGACTGTGTTCGAGCCCTCGCAGAAACACCTTCCACCTGTGGGAGAAGAGTGAGCCGCTGGACAAACTTCTTTTAACTCTGGCAAATGAGATGAGACAGGAACTCAAACATGCCAGCGGACAGCTGAGGGCTCTACTAATGACCTGAAAACTGCAATGTCCTTAGTTTTGGAGTTGTTTTTTTCTAATTTGACACGATGCCGTTCATGCATCCTCAATGTGAAACCTGCAGAGGACTGAGACGTGTTAGAAGTGCGCTCCAGGAAAGTGATCCACTTATTTATAGAGTCTTAATTAGACTGCCTCTCTGGAGGTTTGACCAGGCAAAAGATGAAATCTCTCCCTCTTTCTGTGTTTGTGTGTCCCCCCCAAGAAACCCAGCATCACTGCTCTATCCCTCACTGGCCCCCTTCATCACCACACCCTGCACTCGAGTTATGATGCAATTCGTGGGGACGCGTGCTCTTGCCCTACATTGCTACTGGGGCTCCACCGCAGGGTTTGTTTTCTACAAGCTCAGAGCTGATTGCAGACGAGACTCCAGCTGAACGGTGAGTTTCCTCTCTGTGCATCATGCATTTCTACAACAGACTTTGGTGTCATATTTAAGGCCTTTGTTTTTGTTTTGCACTCAGTCCATAACCCGTCTCCAGTGTGCAGCTCTCATTTGTGTTTAACAAAAGTGTGAATCGATTACGCCGTATTGGATTTCTCATCTGGAAGTGTGTGCGCTCTGTCTTGGATTTCTCATTGTCCCTCGCAGTTACTCAACAGGTCTGAGTTGTTTTGGTAGAAGCGATTGCGCAATCAGGCGCTGGAGCAGCGCTGTGCTATGAGCCTCACATAAGCAGAAGTGTCGTTATGAAACTGTTTACTGGGTGCTGGCTGTGACGCACAGTTTGCAGTTTAACTCCTGAACAAAATAGCTGTTCTGCAGAATAAAGCACACATCTGTGGCAGCAAAAGTTCATGTTTTGCACAAACAGACCGGTTTGGCACAGATTTCTATTGTCGGGATTGTTCACAGGATATGATGAATAGCATGGCTCTTGGACAAGGTTCTGTTTTCTCATGTGCAAACGAGCAAATGATTTGTTGCAGCATTGAGTGAGTGCTTCTAATGAGCACATGTCCTGAAGGTTTGAAATCTGCCACTGAGTCTATGTGCAGTTTTTTATGTATAAGAAGGACATCGTTTTTTGGTGTGCAACATCTCAGTAGCACAAAATAGCCTGCCAACTATTCACAGCTGCCAGTGTGAGCCGTTTCAGCGATCAGGAAGCGTGTTTCCATTGAAACATGCTGAACATACGTTTGTGTTCAGGTCCTTGAACCTTCAGCAAGCACTGAGTGGAAGTCTCACAAACTATGTACTTCACATTCATCTGGGATGCATGTGCTGTGCAGTTTTATTTTTGCAGATTTTAAACAGCCAGAGGTGCACAGCTAGGGCACAGAAAGAGGGATGAAGCTCTGAGAGTATGTGTGTGTCTGCAAGAGGAACTGGCAATTCCAGCAGATGGTGAGCTGCACACCTCAGTGTCAGAGTCCCCGTCTTGATGCTCACTGATTCCTGAGAGACACGAGGCTCTGTAGTGACACACTTACATGCTTGCAGGCACGAGCACGGAGATGCGTGGATCTCCTGTGAACAAACGAAGGGAGGAAGCATGAAGCACAACACCGTCTTACACCGTTAAATCTATTATTTAAACATATTGAAGATTATTGGGAGAAACTTCTCAAAAGTTGTCTGCACAGAAAAATGAACAAGATTTGCATGTGCTCCCAGTATCAGCGCTAATTAAGGTACTTATTAGGTCATGCACAGGCCTGACTGGGTTACTGGCGCTCTGCAGGATGCAGGAGTAGCAAAAACAGCAGCTGTTTACCCCGTGTGCAAGTGTGTATGGAGACATGCTTGAGAGTGGAAAATATTCAGGGGTTCTCCGTGTTATTGAAAGCGACTCTGTGTTTGTTTGGGACCAGTGGCGCTTTCAGATCTGGCGAGCAGATCAGCATGCGCGACGCTGCGCTCAAGGCCCGTCTCTTGTCTCAGCAGGACGCCTTCCAGATGAATGAGATGGCAAAGTGTGGGGCCGAAGGTGAACTGCTTCAGAGGCGACTGGGTGTAAAGGAGCAGCAAAATGGGGAGCTGGGAGGTAAAGTCTAAAAATGCTTAATGACACTATAAGTGAACCAGTATATAAATGGTTCTCCTGCGCGCCCACATTTGTTTGTGTGTGTTCTTGAACGTAAGAAGACTCGGGGCTCCCTGCGGATGGTGGGAGACAGACGGACTCGGATGAGCGCGAAGCCCTCGTGTTATGGAAGAAACCTCTGCTCACGCTTCACTACTTCACTCTGGAACTGCTGATCACCCTGAAAGGCTGGACGTGGAGGTGAGACTGCACTGTCTCTGATCTGTTCCTGCCTGTGGCTTCATGAGCGAGTGCTCAGTCAATAAGAGCTTTAACATTAATGATAATGTTAAAACAGGCAACGTGGTAACATTAGACTTTTGGTGAATTAGTAAGATACAATGCACAAACCGTTTCAGTATAGCTTCTTTGCATCTGCTCAGCTGTTAATGACGAAAAGGAAAAACTTGAAACATTTATGTCCTGTGAGTTTGTCACTGGGAAATCAGCACATAGATTTGTCCTATTTAAGCAGTAGTTTTTTCAGTATTATTTATAGTGACAGTTGCTGCTTTCATTGCACAAAAAGAGGAAGCGGCAGCACTATGCAGTCCTCACTTACACAAGAAGGATATAAACACCACCAGATCAGATGTAACGTTGATTGTCTCAGTTAACCGTTGTTCTATCTTCAGTCTTCAGCACAGTGCAACAAAAACACCACAGGATCTGTTTACATGTGTATATATTTTCACTTTGCACTCCTCTTCCTTTCTACCAAGAAAGTCTTTCCGCCACACACACTGGCATGATCCCACCAACAAAGCAACAACATCAGCTCAGACTCCGTCAGAATTTGTCTTGGCAGCATGTTCCCTGTGGTGGAAAACGTGTCTTTGTACACCTAATAACAAAGAACCCAGAAGAAGGTCAGAGTGTACTCTCAGGGGGGCCTTTGCGGTTAAGCGTGTCAGGACAACGTGTTTATTTTCTAAAACTACAAGAGGATGTGGTGAGCCGCAAGCACCACGAGCAGCGCTGTGACTGAGAGAAGCTGCTACTCCCCAGCACACATGCAAACACATTAGGGCTTTAGTGCACTCGCATGCAGAGAGGTTTATCCTGGATGTTGTTAAAAGTGGTTTGTAATTTACAACATGTGGGAGTCCTCAAGGCAACAGACTGTCCTGTCTTGTGGCTATGCACTTGTTGTTCTTAATATGCAGGTAGCTTGTGAAACAATGCAGGATTAGGATAGGGGAGGGCATGTGGTGAGAAATCATTACGGTCAAATGAATGGAAATTCTGGTTTTAATAAAAACACATTTGCAGTGTTTTTTTCTATTCTTGGATGTGTGGGATTTCAAAGACGGGATATCCTCGATACTGTCATGGCACACACATAAGCCCCACCCACCTACGGTTTAAACTTCAAGGCAAATTAAATCATGCAAAGATACTCTAACACAGCCCAAGAGTAAAACCTGGACTAAATCCTAATCTCATCGTTAGATGTCACCAAATTGCAGATCACTGAATTCTGTTTTTTACCAGGTGTACGACAAATGATCACTGTTCGTCTGCAGTAAGCGTAGGCTGTCAGTTCACTGTTTACCTCAACTGTCAGTATGTTGTTTACTGTGAAGGAGGCTTTAAACTTTGTCAAATGAATCCAGTGCCAGTGTCAGTGAACCTTACTTCTGACTGATGTGCTCTGAAGTTGAGGTGTTGCAGCTATTCTGAGCTTTTCAGTAAATGCTGCTGTTAGCTTCGCGTTAGCTGCTGTTAGTCTCAATTAGCTGCTCTTTGAAGTGGGTGTAACACAGTTGGACATTAACTGGCCTAATGTTAGCTTGTGACCAGCTGTTGTTGTTTAGCCAGCTCACTGTCAGAGCCTTGAGTTAAAGAGATGAGGCTGGAGGTGAGTCGGAAAATGAGGGAGAAGAAAAACATAAGAAAAAGAGATGTGAAAATATACATGCACACATGTTAAATGGCTATAAATGTAGCCGGTCTTTAGTAACATACGTAAAACAGCGACATCCATCTCCGACCGCTGTATTGAAGTTGGAGAGGTATGGCTTCCACAAACAGGCAGCTGCCCCTAGGTATTTTTAATGGATTAATTCTGAGTTTATTAGAATGCTTCCAGTTCTATTCTATTCTATTTCTATTAGCTAACCTCTAATTAGCTACAAGAGCCAGTTTTCCATGTCAGTGCTAATGTGGTGTGCTCCAGTACCTGAAATAAGTGAGTGAAGCCCACAGCACATGGAGGCAACTGTTTGCTCTGACCTTCTCACTGGGGGCTAATTTCATGCTACTCTGACTTTTCCTTTAATCAACCCTAATTATTTGCACTTGGGACCAGCGCGCATGCGCTTCTGTTCACTCCGATATTGTCTCCGTGTCAGTTTGGGCAGTAAATATGTGAAAGAAACGGTTTTAACAAACGCACAGACTGTAATGTGTCAGCTGGCCAACCTTTTCTACAGATGTGCACGTCCTGGTCACTGGGCAAACAAACAAGGTTAGCTTAGTCAAAGGAGCTTGCCTGCGCACATTAACGCTGTGGATAAAAACATCAAGTTCACCAGGGAAGACACAAAGGACAACTGTCTGCCTTTCCTGGACTGCGCTGTGCACATTGAAGAGAACGGCAAACTCAACATCGAAATTTACCGGAAGCCCACACACACGGACCAGTACCTCCTTTTTGACTCCCATCACCCTCTGGAACACAAACTTGGAGTAATTAGGACCCTACACCACCGGGCAGAACATGTTCCCTCTCAACCTGAAGGAAAAAAGAAGGAACACACACATGTAAAGGAAGCACTCAAAACGTGCGGCTATCCTAAATGGGCGTTTTTAAAGTCAGCAAAGAGGCACAGAAAAGAAGACCAGACACCAGCGAAGGAGGATAAGAAGGACAGACGCAACAACATTGTCATCCCCTATGTAGCCGGTGTATCAGAAAAACTCAGGAGAGTTTTCTCCAAGCATGACATCCCAGTGTATTTCAGACCCAGCAACACACTCAGACAGAAACTGGTTCACCCGAAAGACAAAACGCCAAAACACAAACTTAACAACGTGGTGTATGCTGTACAGTGCAGCGAGGAATGCCCAGACCTCTACATCGGAGAGACCAAACAGCCACTTCACAAGCGCATGGCACAACACAGAAGAGCCACCTCCACAGGACAAGACTCAGCTGTCCATCTGCATCTTAAGGATAAAGGACACTCTTTCGAGGATGCCAATGTTCACATTTTGGACAGAGAGGACAGATGGTTTGAAAGAGGAGTGAAAGAAGCCATCTATGTCCACTGTGAGCGACCATCTTTGAACAGAGGCGGGGGTTTACGACACCAACTCTCTGCCATCTATAATCCAGTTTTGAGATCCCTTCCCAGACGCCTTAACGCCCACTCACATCCTGGGCCATCTGACCTCAGGAATTCGCATGACAAGGTGAGGCCAGGTTTCACAATGAACCCACCTGAAACTCTGGCTGATTGGGGCCCGCACCCAATTTCACACCTTGGCTCAGGTGATTAGAGGATCATCAGGGGGTCCTTTTGTCCCTCTGTGGGGGGAAACTCCCACTAGGTTTATATCTGGGACTCTCCACCATTTGACCTTAGAACTGAAGAAGCTTCTCGGATGAGAGGTGAAACGTCTTCAAGCAACTTAAAGAAGTCCAGACGCTTTTCTTTGCAAGCTCCTTTGACTACGATGACCTGGATGACTGAGAACCTTCACAGACAAACAAGGTTAGCTTAGCATCAACCATAAATCTGATGATAGCATAGTTAGCTTCTGTCGTTTAGTTTTTTCATAAAACGTTTAATTCTAACATTCAAAATAAACACGTGAGCATTATCTTTTTACGGTGAGTGTACGTGAACGTCTGTACAATAACTTATTTTTCAAAGTCTAGAAATGTCTTTGCGACTGTCGCGAGAGTTTCTGCTTTGGATTCATTCTGCCCTGTATTAAGTTGCTCGAATACTTTCTCCCCTCCACACATGCAGTGTTGCCAACTCCTCAGTAAGGAAAATCGCTATTGGCTGTCCTAAAAGTCGCTAGAAGTCGCTAAATGACGTCATCGCCTAATTTGCATAATTGGTCATGCTAATGTAATTGTAACCTACGCTGTTTTAGAGAGAAATAACATCGTGGAAGAGACAAAGTGAGTAAAAACGTCCTAAATGCATTTAGAGTTTATTTAGAACTACGAATTAAATTTCTTTTAGCAATTATTGTTTTTTAATGTCACAATTCCAACCCTGCTCCTTTACCCGGGCCTGGACCGGCAAAAGTGACCTGAAATAGGCGCTCTGGTGGAGTTACTGTGTGTGTGTGTGTGTTTTAAGTAGTTTTAAACCTTGTGATCCACAAAGCAGCACAACAGTAAAGGAAGAACTGACTGCGTTACAGTCAGTGCGGGAGCAGCGGCTTCGCTCATGCGCGATTCATTTGCCGTTTGGACGCACAGGTGTGAACGTCTCCTGCCCTGATAGCAGCGGGGGAGGACTGTCCTCCGCCCGTGAGCGCTTTGGCACGGGTGAGGTGCCCACAGCAGCACCGCTGCTTGTTGAGAGTAAGAGCGATCCGCGTTTTCACGTCAAAAAGTCGTCATAAATAAGCTCCAATAACACCAGAAAAAGTCGCCAGATTTGTCGCTAGTCGCTTTTTAGAATAAAAGTTGCTAAGGGGTCTGAAAACTCGCTAAATATAGCGACAAAGTCGCTACGTTGGCAACACTGCACACATGTTAACGAGGTGACAGTAACGGCACTTATGGCCGAGCACGTGCTTTTATAGGCTGCATATTACTCGGATGTGTTCACCATCTGGAAGCACGGCCTCGTATGGGTGAAGACCTGCGGTGATTTGATTAGCTTCCAACAGATGTCTGTCTCTCTTGTCCAAAGTTGAAATCCTTTCACTAACACGTCCTTGTTGACGATCCCTCTGGCGTCAAACTTTCCCTATTAAACATTGTCTTTCTGCTTTGTTTTCCACCAACTTCCGTCTCAAGTTTGTCTACCTTCACTCGCTGCTTCTTCACCCAGGCTCTGGCAGCAGAGACAGACTGTGTTTGGCCTGCTGACCCTGCTGATCCTCCTCTCCATTGCCTATCGTATTGAAGGAGCACACACCCAGGTGACTAAAACTCTGCACATATTGCATTTCTTGACGTATCCTAAATATTCATATGCAAGGAGGTTATTAACGTAGTTGGTCCTGTGGCAGTCACTTTTTTGATGATTATATTTCCTCACCTTTAGCCCGCCGCAGCACTGAATGCAACATGTATATTTGCTGCAGGGTTGTCCTGCCCGTGCATCCGCATCAGCTGTAGAGTGCCTGAAATCTGTGGTTTCATCTGACAGTAGTATGTTGTTGTCTGACAGCTGATATTTGCATAAACGTGCTTGGTTGTATCTGCCAGTTTCTTATAAATATGCTTCTAAATGCCCAGATGCAGCATGCCGTGCTGTACAATCCCCCAGAGACGGTTCACATTTTTGCTGTTTTTAACGCCCCCTGGAATACGGGGGAAGAAAATCAGCGTTATTTACAGTCATGGAGTTGTGTAATCACTTCTCAGTAACTACACGTAACAATCTCCCTTGGCTGGCACTGCTTCCCCGAATCCTGCCAGTAAAGCCAGAGAGCGTATGTGCTGTTGTTGTGTTCCTGGGTTTCCTGGGAAATGGAGTCACTGGTCAGAGCCCCCACCCCACCTTCTCCCCCCTTCCCGTAATCTACACACTCCATGCTTCCCCCTGAAAACAACCTGCCCGGGCTTCCAGGAGGCGGTGTAAACAGCAGCGATAGATGGAGTGATAGTGGGGGATGAACAGAGAAGGAGAGATCTTGGCTTTCTTCTGTTTGCTTGTTGTGTAAGAGCTGGCTGCCACCAGGAAAGAATAATGGTGCTCTGTGCTGAACACTCCTACCCTACAGCTCTGTCCTTTAAACTCAACAACCTCAGGTTTCTCACTCACTCTCCTTCCTCTCCCTCTTTCTTTCTCCCAGCCTTTAGAGGACCCTCTGTTTCACACACTCTCACCTCCTCTCACTCTGTCCCTTCCTTGCTCGCACTGTGCACACCCCCTCCCTCCCCTTCCCCTTTTCTTGTTTTCTTCACACTCTGTGCATGTGTCTCTGCCATGTGGTTGACCGTCCCTCTCTCTGGCCTCTGCAGTATGTGTGCTACATGGAGAAGAAGACGCTGTGGTGTGCCTACTGGGTCGGCCTGGGCATCCTCTCCTCTGTGGGTCTTGGCACTGGCTTGCACACTTTCCTCCTTTATCTGGTAAGACGGCATTTTGTGTGAGTGTTCACTCTTTCACGCTGCAGTTATTCACTTGTCTGTGCATGCCTGTGACAGGGCTCAGAGCCGATGGATGATGGTGGTGCTGTGACGCAGGTATTAAAAAAGCTGGTTTTGATGCTGCTGTCAAGTAGTTGTTTTTAATAAGAGCACTGATGAAGAGATTTTGGCGTGAGTGTGCTAATGTGTGTTTGCGTGCGTCTGCGTTTCACAGTGAATAGGCGCTTTGGTAGCCACGCTGTTTTGACAGGCAGTCCAGGAACAATCGCACTCAGTGACCCCTCTGACTGAGTGCACATGAGGATAAAAACACTCTCCCTCCCCCGATCTGAGCTCTTTCTCTTTCCTTTCTCCCCACTTTCCTGCTCCCTACCGTGCCGCTCACTCTCACTTTCACTCCCTCTTCTTACTTCCTTCTTTGTGCCTCTCCTCTCCGCACACTCCCCGTTTTCTCTTCATCTCTCTTTTTAATCTAGTGCCAGGCGTGTTGGCTTTTGCGTCTCTAGCGCTGACGAGCGCAGGGTCCCCAAACATCTGCTTGTTTGACTACTCTCAGTCCATCTGTCATCAGGGAGTCCACCGTCACACTCTTGTGCCCTGACCCAGTGGAGCTGAACTGGAAACTTTGAAGTGCGTGTCCTCCATGCTGCTGTTTTTAAAAGCCAACTCTGGTGCTCTGAAATGTAATTTGAGAGGCGTTCCTCTGGTTTCTTTTAGTCCAATAGCGGTCCGGCTCACTTTCTTTGCCAGTAAGATGTCACCATCTAGTGAGCGTGGTTGTTACTGCAGGCGGGGGTGTCACCGGGTTCATGACAGAACTTGATGATCCTTGCTGGAGCGGCTCGTGTGCATTTTTATAGAGATTTGACTCATACTGTTGCTCTAGAGCTGATACTGTGATTTTTAACCAAAGAATTTCATGACTTAAAAAAAAATGTACAGAATTTCCAATAAAAATAGTTTGAACAGAATTACTTTTAAGCATTTAGTGTTTCACTGTAGGAAGGAAGTGCTGCTTACTGACAAACCTGCAATTTGTGATATGACTCCAACACTGACAAAAAACATCGTGATCAGGCAAGAATATTCAAACCAACGCAAACAGGGATTTGCCAACAGATTACTTATTTCACGTCGCATTTGTGTCATTGGCTCCTATCCAAATTTTAATTGGTGTTGGCCAATCCAAAAAGTACAAAAGTGGCCTTGGAGAATTATAATTATGCGTCTTCTTTTCTGTAGAAGCGCTGCTAAATGAGCCGCGTCGATTACTCTGTGATCTTCTAGATTTCTGGGTCCTGAAAAAATATTTTTGACAAGTGGTAAGTGAGCACTGGAGAAAGCTAGCAGGCTTCTTGTTCTGTTTTTAGGAACTGGGTCAGTGATAGTAAGTGGGTCAAGTGCAAAGCACTCGCTAAGATGCCTCCACAAACTTTTAAGTCCAACACATGCTGCGTGACCTTTCTGGGCCTAGTTTCCATTGTGTTTATAAGCAGGAATGACAATTTGAAAAGGCAGAACTGGAGTTCATGTGAGCTCTCAGTGTTGATCACTACCAATCAACATTTGGGAAAGACGCCACCGCTTGTAACGGAGGTGCTTCCTGTGACTGTGACGAGCTGATAGATCAGCGATTTTATGAAAGGATATTGATGGATATTAAACGTAGCCTTATTTAAAGAAAAACAATGACAAATATGTATTCAGCTTGTAAAAAGTGTGACGTTTACTCGAGTGGTGCTCTGACACATTTAAATTGTCTAAAAAGACGAAATCAAGGATGATGCCACTTAAGGAATTTTAGACATTTTTAGACCTTTTATAGATTAAAATGATTCAGTAATTAAATCGTTGTTAGATGCAGATGATAAAAGTAATTGTATGCCAGCAGCTCTGCCTGAGAGCTGAGGTTATTTTAGTTCAAATTTAAATCTAAACATTAAAATTCAATTTTTTTTACAAACAATACTTTCCTGCTGTTTCAAAACAGCGCTGGGGGAACTACGGTGCGACTTTGTTTTTATTAAGTGTCAGTAGGTGGTGCAAGCGGCCTTAACATGTCTGTAATGCAGGAAAAGTCACACACATTCAGAATAGAGTTTGGGGTTGTAAAAAACATATTGTAAAACATTGTAGCTTCCTCACATATTCACATGAATGATGAAAAGTGTAATGTTAATGTAAAAAATGGTCTCTATAAAGAATAAACTGGACACTGATCTATTTATTTACTTAACAAATGTTTAAGTGTCGTGTATATGAGCAGCCAGCGGGTAAAAATCACAGGACTGTAAAAGGTGCATCTTTATGTGAATTTGTAGAAAAATGTGCCTCCTTCAAAGTTGAAATACCACCGAGGTCCCTTTCAGCACTGCTTTCATGTGACCTCACACATGACACTGTGGTTTCTATAACTTTTCTTTTTTACAAGTATTTCTCCTGCAGTAACTGTTACATTTTTCCCATCAGCCACAGTGTTTACTCTGATGTAGGAAGTCGAAGCAGCGAGCTTTCGGTTGATATGCCGGTCCTATACTGCTAATAGATTAGCTGGAAATAAATGACACCACATCATATATTATTAGGCTACTTCCTTCGAAATTGGCGGGAGGCAGTCAACATTGTGAAAACAGCACGGAGGCTCCAGCAGGGGGGGGTACTGAGCCTGTATAGGCAAACCAACCCAGTCAATGAAACCAGAACAGAAGTGGCAGCTCCTCTGTTCTCTGACATGGCCAATTGCTACCCCGTGTCTCCACTCTGTTTGCATCCTGCTGAGACTGTGGGAGATCATTGTGCGTGGTTCAGCACTGGTTAATGGAGAAAGATAAAAAGCTGCAACTCAGCCGTAGAAAAGGGGGAAAAGGCACACTTGGCACATCATCAAGTGTACTTTATCCAGCTGCTCTGAGAAAGGAGGTCGTGGGTGGGTGCTCACAATGCAGACTATGAAAGCGGCCGCAAAGGCGTTACAAAAGTGCACGTGTGTGTACACTTTAAGTCCTGCACCTGTGCACACGTCCACCGAAACGACTGTGGCGATCGCTGTGACGAGCGGGACCAGCTTTGGTCCCGGCTCACTTTTTAAAGTTATGAGTGACGAGTCTTGTCACTGCTGTGTGAGTTCTCACTGAGACGGGGTTCACATAGAAAGCTGGGGAACGTCGTAAATACTTTAGAAGAGAGCTCATCTGAGTCATCCACCATTAAATTACCTTCAGTAATGACTGTTGCCATTAAGTCATTATGGGCAGCATGAAAATGATTGCGCTCGATGTTAAGTCAACAGAAACTGAATTAAAGTCATTATAATCGAAGCACATTTCTGTTTACATAATAACAACTCGGGTCGTCTTTTTTTTGCAGCTTCTGTCTTTACTTTGTGACTGAGAGGTGCAAACACGTGCACACATTTGAGCAGTTAGGAGGAGAAACGAGTCGACAACAAAAAATACATGTTTGTATACGACTTATCATTTGTTTTCCAAACAATGTGAATAAATAAAACCAGCGGATCGTCTAAATAAATGAACATTGTGTAGTTTTCTATATTGAGATTCTTCTAGGATTGCTAAATTATAGGTTGCACAGGAGGTTTGTGCAGAATATACAGAGTTTCCCCAGCAACCCTCCTAAAATTAAGTTTTGTCTGTGGGCAATTACCAGGAGCAAAGCTTTAATTAGTGCCAACTATCACTGAGTGCTGAGCAGGTCTGCGAGCGTGGCTTCCACACACTGGCCTGAGTTGTCGTCACTGCCACTGTCGCACAGTTTTATGGATCAGCTGCTGTTGTATAGTTAAGTGTGGTCCGCTAATAAAGCCAGTGTACTGAGCTAATAACTGGGTCGTGTGTTCCTGAGATACCGTAGCGCTCACTCTCCTGGCCACTGTGGGGCCGGTGCATGATGTGAGTCCTGCTGTCATCCAGCAAACAATAGGAAACCTTCACCTTCACCTAGACAGAAACCTGGGTGCTTTGTTTGAGCTGTGATTCACGCTGCTCGGCAGTCGGACCTGGTCTAAATTTTCCACTGCTTGTTTTTTTTTTTTCGTGTGTGTGTGTGTGTGTGTGTGTGACTTCACCAGTGAAGCTGTTTGAGAGCTGATTAGCTGAGGGAGCTCCTGGGACAGCTGTAAAGGTAACCTTCTAATTCGTGGGGTTTAATTTGTATGTAAAAGTTGCCATGAAAGAAGTTGCTTGGCTCTACCCACGCATGTTCAAACATGACCGGCACATTATTTCTCTGTTCGCCAAAGAGACGACTGATACGTTGCATACTCATGAACCAGAACATGGGTGACACATCAGGATCGAGTTCAGTTTCTTGAAAAGGTGCTGTTGACTCACTGCTGCTCTGAAGTAATGGATCTTTCCCTTTAATTGCAACGCCTCTTAAATTCAGTTTAAAGCCATTCATTTTTAACTACATCTCGATAGTGTGTCAGAACCTTTGGTTCTGATGCTCTCGCTGATGAAGAGGCAGAATTACTACGTAACACTGCAGCTGTTACAGAAATGACTGAAACTGGAATATAACTGCAAACAAGACTTTTACTTCCTGTGGGGAAAAAACGGGAAAAATTTGTGAAAAGTACGCAGCACAATTGCTTTCATTCATGACTTTTAAGTAATTCGTTTCCTTCATTAGTTTGGAGACATAAATATGCCCAAACATCTTGTGACTTACTCATCTTCACCAAAGTTTTTCAAAAATGAATGTGTGTGTGTGTGTGTGTGTGTGTGTGTGTGTGTGTGTGTGTGTGTGTGTGTGTGTGTGTGTGTGTGGTATTTCTAATGGCTTCTCCGTCCTAACTGTCTCACCTCAGCTATCTAAAGCATGTGTCTCTCTGTGTCTTAGAGGCCCCAGGAGTCCTGGTAATACTAAGTACAACAACTATTCGTTCTGAAACGCACACACGCACCCACACACAGTCGCACCCACACACAGTCGCACCCACACACACACACACACACACACAC